TCACCGATAACAATAACAAGGGAGTCCGGGTTTGTTTGCTCCACACACAGTATCTGGTCAGCCGGCATGCGCTGTGCGTTGTGCACGTTTTTGTGTGGCGACATGTAAACACCGACCAGAGTGAATGAAGGGCATATCACGGGGGGGAGTAAAACGGTTTACAGTTTATGATAAAATATTAGAGATTAGGAGAACAGTGCTGCTGAATCACGTCGGTACACCAGCCATTGTGTAGTCTGGTCAACACAAGTCTCATTTTACATTTAGATTCACTCATTTGGCAGACGCTATTATCAAGAACAACATACAATCATTAACAGAGCATAAAATACAGCACGAGATCTACAACAGACAATAGATATTAATAAAAGTAGCATTAAATACTAGTAAGCGCTAATGGCACACATCGCATCAATGTAGTAAATACCTAGGGAAAGGAGTTAGAGTTAACAAAAAGTGCAATCAATACAAGATAATTGTAGGGGATAGGAGAAGAAGATCACTGGAAGTGCATGTTAGATGTTAGGAGTTAGAGGTGTTATAAAAGGAAGTATTCTCGGAAGAGATGAGTTTTCAAGAGCTTCTTGAAGTTAGAGAGGCTCCTCCAGAGCAGAATCAAGTCCAAGCTGGGCCAGCATGGCTCCTCTCCTGGCTCTCTTTCCCCTCCTCTGAGCAATCACCTCACCCGCCGACACACCTGGTCCAGTTATTTGGGCCGGGTGCATCATGGTCTGCTGCTCTTTAATCTAAAAACCCCGTCTTCATCTTCCAATGACTGTATTTATGTCAGAGGTAACACGTGTTTTGGCAATAAAGCCGGGAATAAACAAATAAAAAAAAAAATGTGTACAGAAGTTTGAAGGAGTTATCGGCTGCTGCTTGTACAAGCGCTGACTTGTTCCCATACACAATCATTTCAAAAGAGATGACTGTAAAACAATGAATTTATTTAAAACAAACACACCCATTAGCAGAATTTGAAATCCATTCAGTCCAGTGAAATTTGAAAAATCAGGATTTATCATTTATCTCATGTGTTTATCTATTCATGTGTTCGGTCAGCTCAGCCAGTCTCAACGAATGGAGCGCCATGTTGAAACGCGTTACCCAGTTATCTTAATAAATACAGTACATGGGTGTTGTACATGTTGACTTTTTTTGCACAACTAGTGTTGTTAGCTCCACCTTTGCTTTACTGCTGTGGCAGGATATTTTTCCGTTAGTCTGCTCCTCCATACACATCAATTGACTTGCTCAACATTTTCAGAAGCAGATATGGTGACATTACACTCAAAATATGAATATTTTATTAACATGTGGAATTGAGGTCACCTTAGAAGGAGTGCAGCAGCACCTCGGGGGAAGGTCCTGTAAGTCAAGTGAGGCTTTAGTAAACAAAGGGGGACATAATGGTTAATGTTAGTTCTGCAGGGAGGGCAGCTGTGCGTCAGCTGGTGTAATTTTACCATGTAAGTCTGAGTGTGTGCTGTGGATGAAGCCGATGCAATTGGACAAAGGATTTTTTTAGGATGACCTATCACTTTAAGAGTGTCAGAGCCCCTTGATGGGCTCCTCATCTTTTTTCTCTCACAACATCTTTCTTCTGCCATGCATGGCTTGTTGCCGAGGTAACAGGCCAGAGAATGGTTTAGCATTTCCAGCATCGCCTGGTGAATCGACTCGTGCTGACATGCAGCTGACAACAACATGCTGCATGACTGGCTCAGGTATTTTCTCCCCCAAATGTCAGCAGAGTCAACAGCCACCTGGTGCTACACTGTAATGTCAGGATCATATCAAAGGTGACGTACTTGATATTATGTTTAGGTGCTTCAAGTGATGACAAATATAGCAAACTGAGGCATATGTGTCGACATTACTTTGAGTTGTAAAGCAGAAAATCAACCCTGGTGATAAAAATGTCCTTTGTACGGTGATACAGTCACTTCTGGTTCAAAATCTAAGTGGAGTGAGTTACTGTGTTTCTCCAGCAGAGGACACTGTGTTAGTGTGCATGCCTGTGTGTAAATGTGTGTGTTTGCATGGTTATGTGTTAGTGTGCATGCGTGTGAGTCATATCACCCCACATGTCTGTTAAGCATTTTATTCTATTGTATTTGATTCTATTCTGCAGTCTCCATCCAGAAAGCAACTATGACTTATTGACTATATTTAGATGCACCTATTCATGTTGTAGGAAAATAATTCAATCAGTTTGTTTAAATGCACAGTAGTAGCAGAAGCACAATTTTCTGGTCAGGTCATTATTGAGCTGCTACAACACTGACTGAAAACAGTCATATCATGCCTGTCTGAATCTGCATTTGTATTACTCCCCTGGTATTTTGCTGTTTACAGGTAATCTGTCTGTTGGAAGCTAGGGGCTGTAAAAACAAACAAAGTGTTAATCAGCATATCTGTTACCAATGAAAGAACAGATTGGACTCACTCAGCCCTCCATTAATCATACTGATGAATTACTTTGCATATTGGATATATTTGGATTGCACTATTCAGATTTAGACTTTAATGACAGTATGTCAGTATAAATGTGTGATTTAACAGGCTTTCAAGATCTTTAAAATATTTACAATTAGCTTTCAACTTGTAATTATTTGCTCACCTTCCTCTACATGGACCTTGTCAATATGCGTCGTCACTCATTGTGCCCAAGTGGGACGCACTCAGGCCTGTGCAGGAGACTGAGTATGATGCAACATCTTGCAATAAACAATGTGCTGTAAGAGCATGTAACACAGAGGCTAGCAGGCAAGTAAAACCCCACGTTTAGAGAAACACCCAACATTCAGACACATGCAAGCACAGTTTAATACATTTTTGATTTTGTCCTCAGAGACCCTAGTTCCTCAGCTAGCTGTTTCCTACCTGCATGCTTTGTTGGACTTGATGATGGGCCTGAGGGTCACCGATATTAAGATGACCTGCCTCATCGATCACCTGTCACATGTATGGATTAGAAAAGAGATCAATGGGACAACCTTCTAGTCTGAAGTATGGCAAAGGGAGGCAGCTACTGCATGATAATGGCCTGATCCCGAGGTCCAGTGGTCTGTTTTGATTTGTGTTTGTGTGTGTGTGTGCATGTGTATGTGAGTACATGAGTACTCCCTTTCTTTGCTGCTGCCTAAATCAGGGTATGTGCTGGGTCATCAGTCACCAGGTCTCCTTAATGTTCTTTTGTCTGACGTTCCGCCACAGTTACCTGATATACACATAGACCGTATGTTGATACAGGACAAACATACACTTTTAATTTCTATGTTATTGACAGGTTGCTTAATATGGCTTCAAACACAATCTTTAATTTTTTTTTTCATGTTGGGCCCCACTAATCCCTGTGACACAAATCATTTTGAAATATGCACCATCGGAGAACAATGTAAACTGACATTAATGTATGTCTTGAAGACATATTTTCACACAGGTCCCACCTACAAATTACAACAGTAAATTACCCAAACTAAGTGACATGCAGTCAACATGGGATACTGGGAGTTTTCTTGAATCCACGGATAAAAGATATCCCGATGTTGCTTAAACATGACAAATTACTTTATCTGTAAGATTTCATGTGCATGTTTTCAGCCAAATTAAGCTCTGTATCACAGTAATTCAGAGAAACCAAACACCATAGGCTGACATTTGCCAAAGAATATGAATTTCTTGGATGTAGGAATGTATAGATAATAAAGACTACATCTATCAAATGTTTGTGCCATTCTTTCTTTTCTTCACTGGTTTGCTGTGTATTGGTTAAATTGATTGAAAATACAAATAAATATACACATTATTTCAATCCCACTTGTTTTGATCCCTGATTTAATTTAAGTTGCTTCATTAAGAAGAATTATTACACACAGAAAAAGTAGGACTTACATTTTCCACCACAAAGACATGCCCATTTGTCATCAGTATATGGTGCTAAAAGAACAGCTCCCAAAGGTTGATACAGAAGAAGTGGCGCAATTCAAAAGCATAGCAGTAATATTGAAACCATTGTGAAATATAATGATGTTTCTTATTTTGATTCAATTTATTTGTGAGTTTGTGATGTGAGGGTTACACGCTGTGTACAGCGTAACTACAATAAATTATTGTATATAACTATTTCTACCACAATACACTGTCCGAGCAACAGCAAAGTGTCGAGAGGGCCATCCTTTCTCTCTCACACACACACACACACACACACACACACACACACACACACACACACACACACACACACACACGTATGCAAAACAAAGAAAAAAACTTTTATCAAATCCAATTTATGTTTAGAGCGATTTTTAGATTTTGTGATACCGTACAGGAGAACAATATTAGCCATTTCTTTACATTTCAGCTACTGGTACAGCAGTGTTGAGAGTGATCATAGATATGCAAAACAAGTTTACCAAGAATATACAATTAAAAAATGAATCAGTTAATTAATTCTTCATTTGAAGTCAGTCATGCAATAAGAGAGATCACCTTGCCTTAAGGTGCTGCTAAACCCATTAATTAATCATTAATTAGTATTTCAGTGGAGAGTGTTATTGTCCTGTGGTCCAATAGCTATGTTAAAGGCTCTTCTATTCCAGTTAATATACAGGTCGAGATAAAATACCTGTGTTTTAGCTTATAAACCTGAAAATTAAAAGAAAATCAAGGCTGTGGTGAGTATTTACACACATGTAAAAGCATATGTCTTACCCAGAATGGTTGAACCCACACTCCATTTCCTGCCACTTCCATCACATAAATGCAACTAAGCCTCACTTCTTTTTTTTTGCACAATCAATAAACCTCTGTAAATTGCCTGTGAGCAGAAAACAACATTCAGTAACGTCCTCACATGCAAAGGTCTGCAGGAGGGCGCCTCAGTGCATACCAAACTATCTTTAGGACCCAGTGTGTCTCCTCCTGAGCCTTTGTAGTTTTTGTGTGGATATGAGGGAGGCTGAGATGTGCTTCTTTCTTATCACGATTCGCATCGAGCTTTTTACCAGCTGTGAGGGGGGGGGTGCTGGACAGGGTAATTTGAAGATAGAACCAGCTCCCATAACTGTTTGTTTGTATTTTTATTTTGTTTTTAAAAATATTCATTTAAATTCTTACCATCTCCTCCTTATCATTTTTTTTCATTTTCATTTTTGGGATACTATGAAAGCCAATGCATTTCGGATGCATTCCTGCTGCTGGCTGGGACTATGATTTATGAGCTTTGTTCCCATGACAGACTTGCACTCATTCAGTCTCATCAAAACAGGAGAGAGCTGTGATTTGTCTTTAACTTTCTTGCATCTTCGACGATTCCAGCTGCAGCAGGTACTTTCTGCACTTGAGGTGAGTCTGTGTTTTTTTCTCCCCCTGCCTCAAACACAAAGGAAACGTTTATACTATGATTATTTATTATCTGAGGAGATGCTGGAAAGCGTGGGAGAGGACCTTGATCTCTCTTCCACATTTTCTTTAATATTATTGGTTATTTTCTGATTTTTTTAATCGTCTAAATTGGGGATACAGGTTCAAATCGGTGCACTGACAATATTTTTGGTAACAGTAATGTTCAGTGAGTGGAGGCGTGGGACGTGTCAGTGAATACTAATTGCTATCACTTGCTGTCTCTGCTGCTTCTTCTTCCCCAACATCTTTTTTATTTTTTGCGTGCTAAAGGGAATCCCCAGAAATAGGTGATGGATATAATGATTGTATAGGTCACATTTAAATCCACTGGCATGTCAATCCGGTTAAACTGAGCCTCCATTCATTACAGCGGCTGCCCTGCTGCGTGTAGGTGTTGAAGCAGCCATGTGGAGCAGAGAGAGCGCTTCTCCACTTCTCATCTGCCTGCTGGCGCTCACAGCTCTCTGGAAAACCAGGTGAGTCTTTTTGGGAGACGCCTTGAAGCGACGATACGAGCTGCAGGCCGAGGATCACTCACTGTGTCTCTGGGGACGGACCGGAGGTCTCTATTTATCACGTTTTCTTCATGCATGGACTCATTTTCAGCGGGCACACAACACACTCCCTCAGGGGGAGAGGCAGTTTACCGATTTCAGTATTCTCGGTCTGACAGTAAAAGTAATCCCGAGGGCATGTGGGTAATTATCGAGCTAGGAAGTCCTGCCTTGTTAAAAAATGTAGCCAATTGCAGTTGAAAGTATATATTTCTGAAGTAGGCCTAAACAATTCTGGTTTCCAAAGTCATTTAATATCACAAATAGCTTGAATTTTATTATTTCATCTATGAAAGAAGACAAAATGAAAAAGAAACATAGGACTCTGTAACAGACTAATTGTTGTTTTAATAGCCTATTTCTATTTTTTTTTTCAAGGACAAAACAAGTATGAATAAATTATCTTTTTTAAATCTCTAAGAGTGTAGTTAGGTTTACACTGATATGTCTGAAAATGTGTCTTTTGCACCTTCATTTTCACTGAAGCCAGGCAGCCACTATAGACGCTGTTTTATCAGAGGACATCTCACATTATCACATGAGGTGTAAAGTTGTCTTTTGATACTGGGAGTGACAGTTTAGGTCATGTGAGTGCTCACCACAGAGGACAGTTGGCAAAAGAAAGAAGCAGCTAATGTCAGAGGCATGGGAGGCAATTTAGCCACTGAATCTCTTGTGAGGCTCCATTATGTCTTCTGCAATGTACAGATTCTAAAAAACCTATCTAGGACTGCCAAATTCTCCATTATCTAGTGGTGTTCGCTAAAGGCCTTTTTCACGGAAGACAGTTTGACATGTCACAGCAGTAAAAGCACAGGTGTAAATAATATGTTATGGCTGAATTGTGCTTAGCTGCTTCATTTTCTGGGTCCTGGTATTTTGGACCTAAATGCTGGCTCACTGTCACAAACTGGAACACTTGAATAGGACAGAGCCATCATTAATGTTATTAGTAACACTTGTGCTTTTTATAATTTGACGAGTCAAAATGTCTGCTGTGAAACAAAAGGAAGAACAGGAAAACCTCCTGTAAGCCTTGCCAAACCACACGATATGTGTGATATGTTTTTATAAAAACAGATACAAACACAGTATGTTGATATTCTTGAATCAGCTGAATTGGTTGCATTGGTTAAAATATATTTTTTTAGATTTAACTGTCAACAATTGTGGCTTTGCAGCCATTTTGCCACTGTTTTGTCAACACTTCTGTAGTTTTTTTCACCAAGCGATCATTAAAAATTCCTGATATTTCCATCCAGGAGTTCTGTACGCACAACATAATTAAAACATACAATGCATACAATTGATGTCAGAGTCTATAATGTTTATGTATGAGCTAAAATGTATTCAGAAATGTACAGTGTCAACAGCTATTTATTTTTTTACGTTAGTTACTAATTAACTACCAAGCTAGCCTTGAAAACTAGCAGGCTAATGTCAACACGAAACAATACACTTTAGTGATAAGATGTGGATTATGGTTAAGTTATATGTAGGTTTAATGATAAATGTGAATTTATCAATCCCTCCACGCAAGGTTTCCTACATATGCTCACGCAGGTTATGTGATGTTTTAATCGAACAGCTGTGCTCTTATTGATGCAATGCTATAACTGAGCTTAAAAATATGTTAGCTGTTCTGTACTGCAGCTATACTTGACAACATACTTAAAAATAAGAAATAAAAAGTATTATTCTATTCTGTTCTTCTATTAGCTTATAACTCCAGTAAGTAGGCTACATTAATCCAACACATTTCATCCATCCACATTTACTGATGGTAATTAAAAGAATGTGGTCCAAACAGATAATACCCAGATGTAAAAATTGATTAATATTGTATACATTCCCTTCCCCTTTTTAAAGTAATATGTAACCTGAGGCTCTTACACCAGAGCTGTCCACAGTGGTGATTATGTCGAACTTTAATGAGGGAACCTTATCTGAATTGATTTACCATGAATCTCTAGCTCTGATTACATTTGCATATTTAGTTGTGTTTTGGCTCCATGATCAGATGGCTCACAAATGTTCTGCCTTGAACTGGGTCATCCATGTGGAGGACAAACAGTGTGTATGTGTATGTGTGTGTGCATGTATGAAGTCACCCAGATAAGAGACTTCATACTTCAAGTCAAGTCATATGAGTCTAAGCACATTTTTAAAATGTAATTAGATTCCCGTTAGTTGAAGGGTCCCTCAGCTGGTCATTTTCTTATTGTGTGTCCGTCGACTAGGCCAGTGAATGCCGATGCCACATCTGATGCCTTTAAAACCAATATCACCCTGTTCACACGGATCCTGGACAGCCTGCTGGATGGATATGACAACCGTCTACGACCTGGTCTTGGGGGTAAGGATATGATCTACTATCATTGGATGTTCAGAACTTTATCATTTAATATCTGTGCATTTGAGTGTTTTGTGCCCCCATTTATTATGGTTGATGGCTCATTTGGAATGAGGACACTTCCTTTAACATCAGCTTTTGTAGTACGGAAAACCTTTGGCAGCAGTCCCCTCAAGAATAAACTGACAGACACACTCTGTGCACAAAACATTTAGGTTATATAACACTCACTCCTCTTCCTGGAAAGTAACAGCAGCCAAACTGGCCACACTTAACCCCACAGAGGTCTATATTCTTGCTTGAGTTTTTCCAGAAAATGCGTGCTGAATCTGTCGGATATTGTAGGGAATAAACTGTGGGTGCAGAACTACACTGCAGTTTATGACTTATGTTGTTTCAGTGTCCGTAAGGTTGTGCGGCATGGTTGTAATGTTACTTTAACTGTAGAGATATGGTTGAAGTGATGTAGTAACATGAAATAAACATGAAGTAAAATGTGACATAGAATTTTTATATTGTATTTTTATCTTTATTTCATCCATCGGCCCAGTCCTTCTTGGATTACTAGAGTAAAATGTGCCAGGATGGTTAGTGTTCTACCACTACACTACAGAAAAATCTTCCTGTTGGAAAATTTCCACAAAAAAATAGAATTACAAAATATAATAATACCGTGTAAAATATAAAATATATATAATTTAGCTATTAAAAAGTGATTTTCCCGAGGTTCTGAACAGTCAGATCAATTTTAAGCTACATAAGCATATGCATGATAGGCTTCAATATCTTTCATTTGTATGTCCTTGATGAGAATCACATCTCCTCCTGTGGCCTCATTGCGCTACAGTGCTTCCCTTTCCATCCTCACCTCTCCCATCATCCTCCATGTTTGGCATCTCATTTCCAGCTGGCCCCTTACCCCAAAGCTGAGCTCCTCCCACAGGATTTGGTGCCATTTGAAATTCAAATTCCTGGGGCCATCAGTCCAGGCCAGGAGCTGCCATATGGGGAACAGACCTCCTTTGGCAGTGCTCAGCCTGTACAACTGGACCTACTAGTGCTGCTAGCTTATTTCCTGTGTAGGAAAAGCATAAATGTTTGACCTATTACTACACTGTAGCGTAATGTACATATATTATTTACATATAGTATAGTATTTATAGGATTGAATCAATAAAGCTATATTGATTTTGAATGACAAGTTACATTAACTACATTACAAAACATCCAAACATAAATTAGACACTTTCATCTAAAGTGCCTTATGGCACTATGAGCACATTCACTCACCGGGCACTTTATTAGGTACACCTGTTCAACTGCTTGTCAACACAAATCGCTAGTCATCATTTAGGCATGTAGACGTGGTCAAGACAACTTGCTGAAGTTTAAACTGAGCATCAGAATGAGGAAGAAAGGGGATTTAAGTGACTTTGAACGTGGCATGGTTGTTGGATGGCCTGTTCTGAGTATTTCCAAAACTGCTGATCTGGGGTTTTCACGCACAACCATCTCTAGGGTTTTAAGAGATTGGTCCGAAAAAGAGAAAATATCCAGTGAGCGGCAGTTGTGTGGACAAAAATGCCTTGTTGATGTCAGAGGTCAGACTGGTTTTAGATGACAGAAAGACAACAGTAACTCAAATAACCGTTCGTTACGTCCAAGGTTTGCAGAATACCATCTCTGAATGCACAACACGTAGAACCTTGAATCAGATGGGCTACAGCAGCAGAAGCCAACCTGAGTACTGTTGCTGACCATGTCCATCCCTTTCTGACACAGTGTACCCATCTTCTGAGGGCTACTTCCAGCAGGATAATGCACCATGTCACAAAGCTTAAATCATCTCACACTGGTTTCTTGAACATGACAATGAATTCACTGTCCTCCAATAACCTCCACAGTCACCAGACCTCAGTCCAACAGAGCACCTTTGGAATGAGGTGGAACGGGAGATTTGCATCATGGATGCACAGCCAACAAATGTGCAGCAACTGTGTGATGCTATCATGTCAATATGGACCAAAGTCTCTGAGGAATGTTTCCAACACCTTGTTGAAAGTATGCCATGAAGAATTAAGGCAGTTCTGAAGGCAAAAAAGGGGGTCCAACCCGGCACTAGCAAGGTGTACCTAATAAAGTGGCCGGTGAGTGTATATAATAATGTGCCAATCAGATGGAATTTTCCATGCTGTAGACACATTAGATCTGGATGTCACATCTGTGGGAAAAACCTGTTAACGCTTCACTGGACCTTGGTTTTTAACGCATTCATTATAGCGGCTGAAAAAGCCTCATCACAGATGAGATTAGATGTTTTTTCCTGTGCGACATTTAAATCTATCCCAATGAGCACTCTGGTGTGTGTTATTGCAGTGAACAAGCGATGGGAGCTGAAACATCTTACAGCTTCCACTGATTATCAAACGATAAAGATGGAAAAGATGAATGTAGGGCAGAGGTTTTCAAGATGAACCCACTTGTTCCCTTGGGGCTTCTAGAAGGTTTCAGGGAGAGAATAAAACAAAACAACTGTAATCATTTCACTAATGAATGAATAACTGTGTGGGTTTAGGCTGCACATTTCTCTTAGATATATTTATAGAAAATACAATATAACCCCCACTATTTGATGGTTAAACAGGCCTATACAGTTTATAATGTAACTACTGTGGACTAAACTGTAACCTTAACTAGCTTAATCCAGCATTTATTTTTCATACTTGTGGACTGTTTCAAGTGTTGAAGCAATACCAAGCTATTTTAAAATGCAGCAATTGGTTTCTGTCACTTTCACTGAAATCAAGCCAGGCTACAGAGAGTGAATGCAGAAAGCACAGTAGCTCCCGCATCATCATCATTAGTGTGACTGCGAGGCAGCTCACTTCTGTTCATATTCACACTTCTGCTACTAATTTGTTTTCCAACCAAAAAACAAAGTCATCTAACTGTGACTTCACGCATAGAGCTATACATTACAGTATGTTTCAGCTTTAAAGCTGCACCAAGCAAGATTTTTAGGTGAAAAACCCAACTGAAGCTGTAAATTTGTCATAAGCACCAGAAAGAAATGTTGTTGATGGTTAAGGTTACCTCTTCAAGAGGAGGTGACAAATCAAATGTTCAGAGTAATATATAAACTCTCAAACACAAGTAAGCTTCTCACATGTCTTTGGATAAAGCATCCCCGATTATCTTGGTTCGTAAACATCCATTCATGCATCTGTTTAAAGAAGAGGTAAAAGTTGGATTCAGCTGTCACATGGAATCTTTAAAGCTGCACTTTTTTTATGAGAACATTGAGTCAAATATGACTATGAATATGTGTAATATGAAAGGTGTCGCTTGTAGTAATAAAAGATATTGGGTTCACGAGACAAGTGAACACATATACATGTATCTTGTCTTTCACTCTGTGGCCATTTATTGTTTCCGCTGGTACCCAAAATGTTGCCACTCAAAGTGGCGGTTGCATCTTCAGTGCAAATTTCACCCTGTCACTCCATCATGCCGATATTGTGAGACAGCTTTTCACCTCAACGAGAAATATTGTTTTAATATCACGAGATCTCGTGCCATGAGATAGTAGACAGGCAATAGTTTGCTAACACCTAACTGCTAACCAATCAATGCAGCTTTAAAACTATATTGTTTTCACAACACACTAGCTTAAAGCTGAAATGCAAACTTTTTCCTTTGTATAAGGTTTGACATTGATTTCACGGAGGACAATTTGACATGTCACACATTTTATTATTGTTTATTATTCATTGTGGTGCTCTGATCTTTTTACTGAGTTCTGGCTAAAAAGACATATTTCCTTTGTTAAATGGATATTGTTGAACATTTGGGTTGTATGTACTGTGGTTGATATTGTGGTGTGTTTTGGTCGGACAGGTTGATCCTGTAAATGATGATTTTGGTGCCAAGGTTACTATTGCTGCTCATGCAACTAGAAGAACCACAATGTCTGCTAAGTCAACTTAAAAGGCTAGCCATACCAATTACACAGACACAACACTTCACCTACAGTACAAGACATCAAATGAAAAGTTGTAATGAATCCATCCCACGTTCCAACGGTGGATTTTGCTGATGCTGTTTATTGGTGTCCAAACTAGCAAGAGTTAAGTTGACATTTGGATAGTTGCACAGCAGGATGCACAGTCCCCTAACACGGGCAGGTTTCGTCCGACCAATTAAACATGGTTCAGCAGGCCCATCTGTACCATTTGTATGATTCAGACTACATGAAAAGCACAAATTTATGACTTTTTTTTTATGTCCTCGTTCCTGTAAATAAGTGTCTTAACATCCTCAGGCATTGAATGCACTCTGGATATTTTTAAATAGTAAACTTGTATTTTCCCAGAGGGCTGTGCTTTTGTAGCTTTGCTACAGTGAGGATGCATCATTTGTACAAATATGTTTAGTTTTGCTTGTGAATTTGCTCCACTCACACAATGCAAAAGGACCAGAGCTGTCATACATGCTTCTGTTTATTGTTTATTCTTGGGGGGGTTTCTGATACAAGGTTGTGAATTTTTTTATGAAAGAATTTCCACACTATCAAAACATGATATATGTGTTGGCCAGTCAACCTTCATCAGACATTTCATATAACAAATGAAAATAAGCCTGCTATACCGTACATGTACATGCTTACAAAGAACAGCAACCAATCCCTCGGACCAAGCAAGGGGCGAGGGAAGAAAAAAACTTTTTTAAGGGCTATTCAGGTGAATTTCCTATAACACACCCAATAAACACGTAAAGATAATTATCTGGGTAATGTCACCAAACCCCATACAAGAGCAAAATATGATCAACAACATAAACAATAAATTAAAAACAATAAAAAAATAAAGCAAAAGAAGCTTCATAAAGGTCAAAGAGATCACTTCTCATTTGACTATATAGAATAAATAGAAAAGCATATATAAACAAGAATTATGTCAACAATGCCAAACGATAAAGCACTACTCTGAAACCTACAAAATATATAAAAAACTCTTCATAATGATGTAGTCAATCATTTTGTAAACATCCAAAATACAATAAGAAAACACTTGATGACTTCTATTTCTATTTTTTAAAGGAAAAGAATTGACAATGTTCTGGGAAGGACAAAGCAAACCACAAGACTTTTAGAAAAGACTTTGTATTTATTTAATTGCCCTGGTTGTTTTTTATTGTGTGTTATTACTGTTTTTTCTGCTGCACAATCAATTGCCCCTCTGGGGACAAATGAAATTCTACTTGATTTGATTTGAAAAACTTTTATACAAAACTCTTGATAGCCAGACTCTTGTTAAATACTAACACAGGATAAATAGAGACAGGCTTCTTATTCTCCTATACAGCAAAGATCACTTTTTCTGTATGTTGTGATTTTATTATAGGACATCTGCGAATAGAGTAATTTCAAAAAACAATAACTGACCTTTTTATTCACAGTTGTGGCATTAAGTGTTGGTTGTGCCTAAGTCAGTGCTCACTATACGGTACACAGAATTCTACTGTATATAGAGGACTAAATAATGTGTCAGACGTCACAATAAAAACAAAAATCAGATTCTGCTCATATCTGGTAGTGGTCTAAATGTACCTTTTTTTTCTATTTTGGCAATGCATGATGGTATTTTATCTCTTGGGTAGTGACTGTAGATTTTATACCACTTCTAACATTGCACTGTGAGTCCAGTATAAAATGTATGACAAACAATATAATGGACTATAATAGTAAACGATCTCAGACACAGCCATTGAGAAGTTCACTGTAATAAGTTGCAGCACCTCCCTAACGATAAAATGCACCAGATTGTATCTTTTTTACAAGAAAAGCAGTGCAGTACATCTGCACATATTTTAGTGAGATGTTTTTTTACTTGTGCCTCCACAATGAACATTTCACCTTAAATAAATCAAAGTGGAGACCTGTGTGAACCGCAGTAAAAACCTGATCATTTTAAATCCACCTGATTCATATACAAATGCCTTGTTTACATGAATAAATGCACCCCGCTGTTATGTTTTGCTAAATGTATTGCACCTATTACCCGGCAACATGTCACTTCCTTTTGATTTACATTACTTTATAAATAAGAAAGCATTTCCATAATATGCCTTGTTAGAGGGACGTATGGCAGCTTGCCTTGCCACGCATAAGGGCACTTTACTGAGGAGTAATGATGTCTTTAGATTGTATGTGAGATGCTGTTTGCTGTGTAGTACAGAGTGCAGAGTAAAACGTGAAAGCTTTTTGAATTGACCGAGCATGAGGGATCGAGCTTCAGTAATTATTGAAGGAGACAGAGTGTAGTGAAAGCAAATGGACCTGATGCAGCAGCACTGATGCAACAGTGCATTATCACTTGAATAGGAAGCATGAGGTTTTGCTCTTCCTATCTGTCATGTCAGGTTGAACATTTAGGATAAATTTGGCTCGTACAGGTCACGTTAGGTGAAGCAAGTCTGTACACAATATAGCTTCATCAACAGTTCAATCTGATATTCATGTATAGTTGGAAGGTGAAAAATAGCATCTTTTAATTGTATTGTGCTGAACTGTTGGTGCATGGTCAGAAGATGGTGTATTTACTCACATTTAGACATTCTATTGAAGTTACAGACAAAAAACGTTTTGCACAGTATAATGCTAAACCAAACACTCGTTGAGCAGTTACTTTGTCAGAAGTACACCAGAAAATCAACTGTATCTGTTTACAGTGCAGCCAGACAAACAAAAATAGTTTTCGACACAACAGCATGTCACAGTGAAGTTGGAGGAGTTGGAGGTGTGCAGCCTGTAGCCTGCAGCTCTTCATTTTCCTTTTTCTTCCATTATTCCCTGCAGAGTTTAAAACTGATCCTTAAGCACATACCAGATAACCACAAAGTCCCGAGTTTGATTCCATGGGACCTTTGTTGCTTGACGTACCTCTCTCTCTCGTCTTGTTTCCTGTCTTCTTTCATACTGTTACTGTGCGGAAAAAAAGAAAAGGCCTCCCCATGTTTCACACATTGAATGTTTTTAATGTGAAGCAGCAGCAGTAAGAAACGTTTTCATTAACAGTCACTTAAAACAGCTCTAATACAGTTGAGGACAAAGTCCATCATTCGTGCGTAAGAAGGTAATGTGATTGCTGCGCAGGAACTAATATAAGACATTATATACAATACATTGAATGGCTGTTAAGTAAAAAAAATGGCAACCATTAATCATTGGGTTTTATTTCATAAACATTAAGGAGCATTATTACTTTAAACTCATTACATTTTAAGTGCAATAAAACCCATAGAAAGACATCTCCTTACAACAATTAAAATAAAGCTTTTAACATTCAGTTAGATTTCCTTGCCTGTGCTAAAAATCGGTAAAACTAAATGTTCTGAGAGGTCAGAGAAAACAGTTTGTAGAAAACTATGTACAAAACAGAAAATCCCACATTCCCCACTTCAATGCCTTTTTAACTCTTCTTCTTCTGTTTTTATTCCTTTGGGTGTTTTGATGCCTCTAATTGTTGTCTCTTATCCAGACAGGATAACTGAGGTGAAGACAAACATCTACGTCACCAGCTTTGGACCAGTTTCAGACACAGACATGGTGAGAGCAGATCCTGGACATTTATTTTTTTATGTTTAATTATTCACCCACATCTTTCCTGTTGTATAAACACTTAGAGAACAAGGCCGCTCCAGAGGACAGCCTTGTACTTCCTGTTCATAACACACTTTAAAGATTTTATTTTTAGTTTAATTATGACTTTCCCTCCTTTCATAATTGCATCATATCTCTCTCTCTCCACACACAACCACAATGCTGAAGTGGGATGAGTTTTCCACACTGCAGCACGACGTCTATTCATCTGACAATTTTCATCTTATAAATTATTGAAAGTCCTCTTGTTATTCAAGTCACTCCTTTGTTTATCCTGGGCTTTCCTGTTTATCATTCTGAAACATGTGCCCGCCTTCACATCATATCACCAGTGTCCCTTCTATTGTTTCCTAGTGATTGATCTATTGATTTAACAATTATGATGTTGGAGTTCAATGCAGTGGCCTCTGAAAGATATGTAAACTAGAAGGCACTCAGTTTAATATAAACCACCACTCAAGCGGGACAGGTCTCAGACACAATACTGTGTTGTTAAGGCTAAAAAATAAAAATCACCTCATGGCGGAAATCCCAGATCCAGATCACCCACATCTGATCTGTCTGCTAAATTTTAGCCACATCATTCCTGATGTCTCTTTTTTTCTATCTTTTAAATCTTGCAATCAAACAGATGGGCAGAGAGACAAACAGCTGACAGGGCTGAAAACAGCATCTCCTTTCACTGACAAAGGTCATCACTGAGTACTGTAGCTACAGCCATTAGAGTTTATAACCTAAGGAGTAATCTACCAATATGTCAGATTCAAAAAATCCATGGGGTAACATCTTCTTAATGTATAATCAAGTTTGAAAAATTTGTATATTATTTATTCATTTTATTATTCATACACATTATGGAATAGCAAAATCGGACACAAGGCTGAAAAGATATGATCTATTTTAGGTTCTAGTCTTGCACAACGTGAAATATTCTCCTGTGACCTGATTGATTTATTCAGATACTGTAGAGCAATCCAGCTGATTGCTGAGGTGGCTGCTTTAGAGGATTAATAGCAGGTCTGCCAACAGCCAAAGCTGGAAAATGAAAGAAAAGTAATTAGTAGAAGAAGAAAAAGCAGGAAAAATACTGTGTTTAGCTTCAAAAGAGCATTAGCCAAACAAAGAGGGCAAAGGTATCTTTGATTACAGGTAAAAAAGCTTTATTGTCTTTGGCTACAGTTTTATCCATTGGAAAATATTAGGTGTGGTCTATGTAATAACACCATGCCTTAATTAAAGGGGACTTCAATTTATTGTAACAAGTCCTCCAACCTAAACGACAACATAGGTCATTTACCCATGCCTCCCAAAATGATACTTATGAGCCTTTCCTAAATTAGCGTCACTACCCATGGTGTTTGTCCATGCCTATCAAAACGACACATATGGTCGTTAAATACGTTACATAAGTCACATGATATTGGTGGTTAACATTGTGAAACTGTCGCAGTTTGGTTAGGTTTAGAAAAACATCATGATTTGGGTTAAAGTAAGTAAATTACGTAAGTCATGTGACGGAAGTCAGTAATGCTATTTAAGTTAAAGCTCAAAATAACTCAGCATTTATTTGGTTTCTTTCTTTCTACCTATTTATAATACGTCACCCGACTTTTGACTGTTGCTGCAACAATAAAAATAAATATGGGTCGTAATAATGTGCTGCACAAACAACCTATATTGTTGTTTTTCTGTGGCACTCAGCCTTAAGCCTATTTGTTAATACTGAAGACATAAATTTTAAAAACAGGTCACAAATATGTTGTTTCATGTAAAGAAAAGCTTAGTAAATCATTTAAAGAGGTGGTATTATGCTTTTTGGCCTTTTCTCTCTCCTTTATTGAGTAATATACCTTTTTTGTGCATGTAATAGCCCGAAGTCCAGCCCAACATCTCCCACAGAAAACTCCAGTCCATGTTGCCAACCTGGTTAGCCTACAGCTGAATCGAAGCTGTTTACCGTCTTCTCACGACCCGCCCTTCTCTGCTTCTGACTGGCTAGTAGTCCTTAACTAGGAACTGCACATGTGCAACTCCCAACAAAGATAATTTAAAGACAAGATGTATCACTCCATAGCTAAAATGAAGCGTTCAACACAGGGTGAAAAGAGGAGCTGTAAGCTGGGATTGGCTCCAGCCCCCTGCAACCCTGTACGCAGGATAAGCGGTTGACGATGGATGGATGGATGGATGTATCCTTAAACTAACCCTTAGGTTAGCCAGAATTTAAACAAAGGCAATTTGTCTGATCATCTGACTGCTTATATGTCCTGGATTGTTAGATTTGTTTCCATATTCTCAGATCTCATAAATTACTTTAGTGGGTTAAATGCTGTCATAACCAATAGCCAAAACTACAAAAACAAAACCCCAATTGTAATAAACCAGAATTATTATTTTGTTGTAAGAGATGCTATTCTCTAAGAAAAAGTTTTGATTTCAGTGGACATTTCAGTGTCCCAATCTAAATGTCAGAGGCCTTTCAAATGTGACAAGAAACTCTGGAGGAATTTATCTTGCGCTCCCTCTCACTTGCGTGTGAATCACACAAACATGCACACCCACTCTCACACGTACACACTTTTCACAGAGCAGTGGTTTCTGCTCTAAAACCTTCCTTGTGTTTGGTTTCTTTTGACAACAGAGGATTGTAGGTCAAGGGGTTGTCTTGGCCTGAGAGCCAGCTTAGGAAAACACAGCAGCTCAGAGAGCTGAGAGGAACATGGAGAGTGCTGTCCTCACCTTGATGGAGCTTTGACAAATAGAGAAAGTGGCCATACAGTGGCCAGTTTTAAAGTGGCAGATGAAGTCAGTCGTGAAGAAGATGCTGCTTGTAAGCTTCAATAAAACAGGGCAGTGGAAAGTGCCCTGTTTTATTGTACACAAGACTCACTTTCATATAGTGGAGAGTTGAAACAAAAATAGAATAAAAATACACTTTCATTAATTCACTTATTTATTCCCTCTACCCACAGGAGTATACCATAGATGTTTTCTTCCGGCAAAGCTGGAAGGATGAGAGGTTGAAATTTCATGGACCAATGAATATTTTGCCCCTCAACAACCTGATGGCAAGTAAAATCTGGACTCCGGACACCTTCTTCCACAATGGGAAAAAGTCTGTGGCTCATAACATGACCATGCCTAATAAACTGTTGAGGATCAAAGACGATGGGACACTGCTGTACACCATGAGGTAATTCCAGTCCCAGAAGCATGTCTGAAGAAAAGTCTCCACTTTGTATTTATGTGTAATGTGCTGAGATGGTTTTAAAGGAATAGTTCAACACGGTAATACACTTTTGGGTACTTGCTGAGAGTTAGATAAGAAGACTGGCAGTATCCTACTGTTGGCACGCTAAATATAAAGCTACTGCTAGCTTAATAGCCCCTCTGAAACCGGCATCTTGTATTGTTACAATTTGATTTTTGCATGGATTAAACAAACAAGATACAGAATCCTAATTAGTGAGCTTTAAAGGTGCTAGCAGGCAGATATTGTTACTTTTGGACAGAACCAGGCTAGCTGTCTCACCCTGTTTGTGTGCTAATGTACATATTAAGTGTACAGACATGAGAGTGGCACCAGTGGTTTCAGTTAACTCTCTGCAAGAAAACAAACAAGTTATATCCCAAATTGTTCAACTATCTCTTGTAGAGGAAGGACTTACTTTGATAAAGCATGTGATAGAAGTACGTCCATTAGCAATACAGAATCTCATTTGCTCAAATGTTTTTTCTTCATGCATCCTATTTTTTTGCAATTTAGCATCCTTTTTTCTACATGCATTTCAAGAAAATCAATTTGAATGAAAAACTATTGTTATTTTCACAGTGGTTGAATGTTGTTTCAGTCTGTATTAGTACAGTTGCATAAAATGCAGTTTCTTTCTAATCAATGAGCTATCCTATAATCTTACCATAGACACACACTGATTTCTGCTGGTCTCTGCAGTAGCCTTCCTTGTTTGCTCTGTTGATTACAGTTAAAATGAATTGTATTTTTCAAGGCATTACAGATGGGAAGCGTCTTGAATCATGCATGAAGCTTGTGAGGGTTTTTGTGGGGTATTTTTGTTTCTTTTTTGTGACCGTGCCTAATCTGTGCTGTTTACTTTTCATGCATTTGCAAAGTCTCCTTAATTTTCTGTGAATTGGATGCAGGTTAACTGTGCATGCAGAGTGCCCAATGCATCTGGAGGATTTCCCCATGGACTTTCATTCCTGTCCACTAAAATTTGGCAGCTGTGAGTAACTCTGATGATAGCGTCTTAGGGACCTTTAAAGCTGGGGTAGGCAATGTTGGAGAAACTAGCAAGAAAGCAACTCCCCTAAAACACATTTCCATATGCAGTGAGTGCAGGGGCAGAGTGCTGAGTGCAGGTAGGCAGGTACAGCCAGCCAGTAATTTTATTTGGACCAAATGAAATGACTGGCTTTGCTTATTACATTTTTGCGACAGCCACAGATACCAGATTGTTTTCATTTTGTGTCAGAGCATTTGATTTATTCAATGGAGTCGGGATGTAAAGAAAATTTCAAAAATACAAAAAAATATATATGTATTATGAAATAAATTGCCTACCCCAGCTTTAAGTAAAATGCTATTTTGTTTTTTATTTTTTCTCCTCATTGGTTCTTTGGCAAGTGAACAGCCTAAGAACCAAGTGAAGCTGGAAGGCAGTAGCCCTACAAATTTTAAAGTGGTCATGTTATGCTAATTTTCAGGTTCATCGTTTTATTTAGAAAGTGGTGAGTTATTAATTTGTAACAAAAGTATCTTTCATCCATAAAGTTATAACTGAGCTCTGTCTCTACATCACAGTAACAACTTTCTGTCCATTGACTGCCTGGAGGGTGACTAGTGTTTGGAAGGGAGAGGGGAGGCAGCAGGGAGACGTCTTGTCACTACATGCTGCAGCTCAGAGTGTTTTTCCACCACTGTTTTTGAGGGTGTGCCTGACTAGCCGCTAGGCGAGCACGTATTTCGCTTTGACGTCACAGAGAACAAAAGGAAAAGGCTGGACTACAAACAAGCTCTTTTCTAGCAGTTCAGAGAGGTGTTTTCTGTGGGAGATGGGAACTCCCTTTGGGGTGGACTTAGGGCTTTTTGACTTTGCAAACCTATTATATGCACAAAGGTGTACATAACTCAAAAAAAGCCAAAAAGCATAATATGACCTCTTTAACAAAATATGCAGCAATAAAATAGATAATATATAACTGACAGATAAAGGACTGAGTGGAAATGACACTAGGAAATATGGGGAAAAGGACTCTAAACTCATCCAAATATTTTATTTTATGAATCCGTTTTAATCAGTATTTTATTTCCATGGCTTCTTTACATTTGGATGACATTTTTTTGCTTTAAGCTGCCTTTAAGATATTGTTTTAAAACAAGGGATTACTAGTTTTCAGAGCATCAGTACATGGTGTGCCGTGTCTGAAATGCACTGACTTCTCACATTAAACAAATGCCCCGTTTACTTTCCATGCGTTTATGTGGTGAGCTACAGTATTTCCATTAATCTCTTTGCTTTGATGCTGATTTGTTACCCTGTTGTAAAAATACAACAATCTGTAGCGATCATGATTGGCATGGAAAAATCTGTTTTTCTGTTTCATCAGACATTCTTAGGTTAGCAGAAATGCTTTCAAACTTCATATTCAATGTATGCTGTGACTGATTGAAAAGGTCACATCATCAGTTTCTTGTTGGCGCTTTACAAATTTCATATTCACCCAGAGAGAGATTTTTCTCTCTCTACAGTATTCTTTTTTCTAGAAACTCAGCATCAAACACATTGTAGTGGGAGGCTTTTCATTTGGGTCACTGAAATAATTTCTCGAAAAATCATCAATGACTGCCCCAGATTTATACCCAATGGGTTTATCCTTTTCTCTTTTTTTTAAGATGCCTACACAATCTCAGAAGTGACTTATGCTTGGACTCGAAATGCCTCTGACTCTGTGGTGGTGGAAGGAGAAAGCTCCCGCCTGAACCAGTATGACTTGCTTGGACAAACGGTCGGACAAGAAACTATCAAGTCGAGTACAGGTAAGCTTTTGTGAAGGTCTAGTAGAAGTCTAGAGGGAATTAAATCCACCTCATGAGTCCTCCACCTCCTACTGACCTCTGTCCTCTGCTGTAGGTATTCCTCCAGCTTAGAAAATGTATTGGATTTGGTATTTTCAAATACTAAAGAAATCATGAAGTCACACTGCCTAAAATAAGTCCGGGTTTTGCTAGATAGTTACTAGCTGGCATGCAGCAAAATGTGAATAGTTGCTGTTTAAAATACACTTTGTTTGCACAAAAGTTGCGAACCAGCAATTGTGATTGTGTGCTTCAACCCGCTTAATTTTGGGGAATAAGGAACCTAAATATCTTCATTATCTCTGTTGCAAACTATTTCAGTGTGAAAATCAAACTGTGAAGAGTTTGTGCTTGTTTGGGTGGATGTTGAACTTGTCCACCTCCTACATGCTGCAGGAGGCGGCGGAGCATGCTGCGAAATGCTTGCTAAGTTTTGTCTTTTTGTTAGTCACTTTATTTGGCTTGAAAAATGCAGAGAAACATTTGTTCTTGCTTCCTCTGCATGACAAAGATTCAACAAAACAGGGATTTGGCAGTCATGCATCTTGAATTCCATACTTTGTTCTGTATTTTGTTAATCTGCATTTAGCATGGCCTGAAGACCCAAAAGCAGCATGGCAGGTGAGCTGCTGCTTCGACAAGCTTTTCTCCTTTATAAACCTTTCCTTTGGAGAACAAAGATGGGCAAACATTCAAATTCAGTGTAGTTTTCTTGGATGGATTTTATGATGCTGAACTAGACATAAGGGAGCACATCTGGCTGTCAGTGACACTAACAGAGGAGCGGCAGGAGGAAAGAAGAACTGCTGTGTTCTGATTTAAGTGTCTTACGTTGAAGCCCAAAGACACAGGAATGTCTCAACAAAAGTGCAGCGATGCGTGAAATGACAAATAAAATCTATGTTATATCTTGGCCCAGAAAGCGAATACCTCGTGTGCGTTGAAAATGTGGCATTTCACTCAAATGGACCTGCAGGAGTTATTAGCAAGTGAATTCAACAGTGATAAGCTCATTAGTGGGCATGATAATTAACTCTGGTTATGTGTAGAGTTTTTCAAACATGGACTTGAAGCTAAAAGCAGGCTCTAAAAAGTTTTGAATGTGTGTGTGGAAAGTGAAGCATAGTGAAAAATGTTTCCAATGTGTGGAAGCTGGCCCTGGAAGCCACTGTGTCAGAGTTTAGGCTGACGTCAGCAGCTCTGTCCTGCTTTATTAGAATTGGGTTTACGCTCCAGCAAACCCAGCCAAACTTGTTATCTGAGATAGCATTACATTCACTAAAAAAACTGCTACAAACCTTTTCCCTTGTTACGTTTAAAGTAAAACATACTAACAGTAAAGCAAAAACATCTAGCATCTGTTTTCAAGTTTGTAGCTAAGAAGCTAAACAGAAAAAAATAGCCTGATCATATGTTTTTCCATATGATGGTACGAAAAAGTTACATAGATGAGCATCATCAGCTGGTGAGAATGCTGACTTGTAGCTTCAGCCTTAAAGTCTTAAAGCATTATATAATGTATGGAGCCACCAAGAGCAGACTATAGACCTTTCGACAGGGTCCTGGTTAAACAATTCAGCTGGAGATGTAAATGATGTTTAAGCTACTTTTTAATGTACTGAAAAATGCTGCTGTAACCAAATCCACAAGCATGTTGTCCTGAAGCCTTGCTGGCTCTGTCAGGGGCCTGTACAGAAATAGAAATATGCTCTATCCAAGACAATCAGTTGTCACGTTTAATTTATTTATAAAACACTTGCAACAAGCACAAAGTGTTGTTTACAGAAGATAGAAAACAAAGAGCATACATACATAGCAAATCAGGCTATAGTATGAACAAAGAAGTAATGATGACTAGAAAGAGAACGCATTTCATGTAAACACGCAGAGGCCAAGAAACGGGGCCAGAACTTGTGTGTGTTGTGTTTCTGTGTGTGAAGATGAGAGAGACACCATTGCTGTCCAGGAAGTACACTGTAAGGAGACATAGCTTGAAAGCTAAGATCAAAAATGTGTGGCAAATAAATGGGGCTTAATTGAAATACTGAAGCACTGTGAGGCTAGCAGGCTTCTTCTTCTTGAGAGATGGGAAAAGGTTGGCAGCTGTTTTCCTTTGCATGCTGGGAGTGAAGAGGAATCTGACACCCAGTGACTGGAGATTAGATGATAGCAGCAAGCAAACCACTGGCTATGAATAACATTGTTAGAAATAAGAGTTTGTAATAAATGCTTTTACAGGGAGCCTAACTGCAGAGAGAATAAGTGATGTGTTCCTTTTTTCTGGTTTAGTTTTCTGGATATAAGGAAAGAAATAGAAATGCTTGAACCCTGGGATAATCATGACAGGCTTCTTTGAGGTGACTCTACAGCATTTGAAATAAGACAGCTGCTGAGGAGAAGAAATGTGTCATCTACCTTGTGTTGATTACTGTTAATTTGCCGTGTTGTCAGTTGAATTCTGTTGGGAACTATTCTGTCACGTAGCAAATATGGTTCTCCTCTCCATAAGGCTCCCTGCTGTGGCAATATATCGTAGCAGAATTAAACACTTAGCGCAGTGATAAATAACATGCAGGGACCATTGCAAATAATTCCCCAATGGTTATTAACTTAGAAATAAATGCCCTCTAGGGCGCACACAAGCAGAGCAGAACCAAAGCAGGTGGAGGCTGGGTGGAGTGGAGCAGCAGTAACAGCAGCAAGCACACGTCACCGTACAGAGTGAATGTGAATGTCTTTAAATAGGCCGCCAGATCAGTGCAGTGAGATGTGATGTCTGTGGTTGTGGTTGGTTAACCGTCAGTTGATGCAGCAGAGGATGATGCCTGACAATGTCATGTTATAAGCAGTTAATCTGCTACATAACTGTTTATCACTGAAGATGTTATCCCATTGTTATGAATAATAACAATAGCAATAAAAATAACAACAATAATGATAATAATAATGTGAGTGCACGGAGTTAGAATAACTGATGGAACTTGTCACTGGACCCTGAAGGACCTCAAAATACACCTGACAGATGAGCCAAATTCAACAGACACACAACTGATCACAGTTGTCATGGTAATGGTGCATGTTGCCATGGTAACATAAGCATAAACTAATCATAAAGCGCTTGTACAGCATATTTCAAAACAGAAGTCACCCAGCAAGCCTTAAAAAGAAACATGCAAGATACAGGGGCTTCAGAAGTGACAGCAGAGGAGGAGACAAGATGAAGTGGTTTATTTAAAGGGAGGGGAGAGAAGAAAAAAACATTGCTCTGTTCCACATATTATACTCACATATGCCATGGCAATGGCGGCACATGCAGAAGCAGAGCTTGAGATGATCACTGCTCACAGCATCTCCCGTTCAGATTACTAGACCAGCCGGACCAAATTTAACCACAAGTGGTGTGATCAAATCCGGAAGAGAGGAAAGTTAGCTGGCATAGTTGAAAAAAAAAATCTACTCAATCATATCAAACTGACTTCAGTACTGTTTTACTTAAATTCCACCAGCATGTCCACATTCCCAGGGGAAGCAATACCCTGGACCACGTTTACATTTCTGACAGCTACAAAGCCCTCCCGCCTTTTCCAGTTTGGTCTATTAGATTGTATTTCCCTGCTTCTCCTGGCTACCTACACCCAGCTGATTAAAAGGGTCAAACCATTAATAAACATGTGTAAAGATGAGGCTACAGCAGCCCTACAGGACATTTTTGAGATCACAGACTGGCACAGAGGCCACCAACCAGGAGAACCACATCAGCCTTGAGGAGTATACATCATCATGTAAAGCATACAACTCCGCCAGAGCGAGACTGAAAGCTGGCATCAAGAAGGCGAAGTGGAGAGACTAGAGAGAGACCTCAACAACACCAAAGATATGTGGCAGGCAATCAAAGACCTCACAGGCTACAAAAGCAGAAGCTTTTTTGTTTTGTGAGGCCACATTAACAGATGAACACATTTTATTCTCGCTTTGATCTCCTCAACAAGGAGTCAGCTGTAAAGTCTACTCCATCAGGACCGGCCACTGTCAGTATCCACAGCAGTGAGGAGAGAGTGAATATGAGTAAAGCTGCTGGACCTGATAACATCCCTGGCCGTGTACTAAAAACCTGCACCAATCAGCTAGTTGATGTCATTACTGACATTTTCAAATTCTCAGTGTCTCAGGAGAGGGTTCCCACCTGCTTCAAGACAGCCACCATCGTTCCTGTACCTAAAAAGTCTGCAGTGTCTAGTCTGAGCGACTACCGCCCCGTGGCACCCCATTCTGATGAAGTGCTTTGAGAAACTGGTTCTTCAGCACATGAAGAACATCCCAGCCAGCCTGGACCCTCACCAGTTTGCTTTCAGAACCAACAGGTCCACAGAGGATGCCATTTCCACTGCCCTCCACTCAGCCCTCACACACCTTGAGAAAAACAACACCTACATCAGAATGCTGTTTATGGATTTCAGCTCAGCATTCAACACAATCTCCCCCATGAAACTGATCAGCAAACTCAGCACTCTGGGTTTAAATACAACACTCTGCAACTGGATATTTTCTCACAAACAGACCCCAGTCAGTTTGGATTGGTGGACTCACCTCCTCCACTCTAGTGCTCAACACCGGAGCCCCCAAGGCTGTGTGCTCAGCCCCCTGTTCATGCTGTACACCCACGACTGCATCCCCCGACATGGAGAGAACTCAATGATGAAACATCATATTGAAGTTCAATGGTACCCATCTCCTGAGCATCAGTGATATTGGTACCTACACAGAGCCCAAAGGATACTAAAGGACAGTACCCACTCAGCCACAGCCTGTTCACCCTGCTGCCTTCTGGGAAGAGATATAGAAGTTTCAGCTGTCATGCCACCAGACTGCAGAGCAGTTTTATTCCCCAGGCTGAGAATCCTATAGTCATCACTGCACCATGTAAAATAGTTTTATGTTCTTGTGATTTGATTTTTCTCTAA